TACTTTTTTTGTGAAGTGATAGTTGACCCAGAGGCTGTACTTTGTTCCAAGTTAAATGATCAGGAATGGAAAGGCACAGGCCACTTTCCACATCTTCTCCCGCCATTCGTGGGGTGACGGTCCTGTAGGCAATATACTCAAAAACCGCAAATCAGTGCGTATTGTCTAGTAAGGTATAGTTTGAAGCAATAAAACCTCTTTTTTACTCTTAGCGATTAACTGTTTTTACTATTCTCCAAAAGAGGACTCATCTTCGAAGGGATCGCTTCACTTTATGCTCAGCATGTACGACTCCTCTTTCACCCTCCCCATGCACTTCACATCATCTCGATTCTCATCAAGTCTAACCGTAAGTACCACTTTGCCGTAGTTCTTTACTCTCGTGTTTGCCAATGAATCCTTCAAAATCTATGGAAGTCCATAGAAACAGAACCCATAGAAAAACCTTACAACTAGTCCTTTCAAGCCTTCGTAGCATGCGACCAACTGCAATACCCCATTTTTTAAGGTTCAGGGTGAACTAGTTCGTTATTTTTTACCTCCTGTGACTTTTGTTGAACTTGCCGATTTGCGGAATAAACCATTTGAGATCAGTGTCGCACGCTTCACTCACACTCACACTACCTGCCATAAAGTCCTTGAAATTGTTTTTTGTTGATTTACAGACCATATCAATGATCGCATGGCATCGACTGTCACGTGCTCCATGGAATCGATGGGATGGCTTGAGATGAATAGAAAAAAAATCGCCCGATTGAGGTCGACCTACTGGCAAAAAAATAGACTGTAAGCAACGAGGTGGGCGCAGACATGGCAGATGCAGACGCAGACTGACGCCAATGACTGTAAATCATAGCTGGCGATTGCATAACTGATCGACGAAAATGTTAACATCAGGATGAAATCTACTTTATATTCCTCTTTATTAGTCATATATGTTTCGATGAAGGCTTTATACTTATTCCATATATGGAGTTCCATCCTTTTCTTTCCAAAAGGAAATAATGGGCTAAGACTCCTTGAACGAACTTTTATCGTTTACCACGCAATCTTCTTAAAGCCCATGAAGAATAATGAAGTTTGATCAGTTTTGTATTGGAGTGCGCCATGCAACTGACCTTCATTCGAAATTGTGTTGGTCTGACAATCAGAGCGTGCATGACTTATACTCGAAAGCTAGTGGGCACGAAGGCTAGCTGGATTCCTTCATGGGGTACCTGGTAAAAGATTTATTTTTTTTCAAAGACCAAACATCTTGAAATCAGGTTCGAGGACCAAGCAGCTTTAAATTGGTAGACTTCACCATACAACAAATCTGTTCGTTACTGCCTTTATCATAAAGACCACTACAGGCACGGGAGCGATATAAATGTAAAGTTAGTTGCTTTAAATAATATCGTAAAACGGATGCAAACCACGTTTCCCTGCAAATTACGACCCTTTATACTCCTCTTTGCGATGGTTTTATGATAGCTATGTATGCCCTTCCAAACACCCAAACGGCGCCGAATAAAACTCGAGTGTGAGGCGCACCCCGACGATTCTGAGGTACTGGTAGACCCTTTTGATTATTACTTTATTTTTCAGGATATTTCATTCTTCCTAATCCTTGTAGCGATAGGAATGATTTATGATACTCAAAGTATACCACTAACCCGTTTCGCCACGCGTTCGGAAAGACGATTTCATGGTGATTTACTTCATTGACAAAAAAACGACATTAGGGCGTTGGTATGTCTGCACATAAGGAAGAGATCAGTCGTACAAAACTCGTCCTGTGGCATGCCATTTGAATGGATCAGTTTCGTGATAAAGAAAGACAGATACAATTATCAGCTCATAAAAAATATACCACCCAATTCGAACGGTTCCAAGGTGATGGTTTTTTCGTCTGTAACACATTTCCTCTTTTTTGACTACAACAAGTTTATGTAAGAACACTTAAATTGGACGTGAAAGTAATTAAAAAGAATAAAAGGGTAATTTTCTTGGTGTTGACCCAATCCATCTTGGGATGACCAACTTTTCCGGCTTTAGCTCTGTATCGTGTGAGTACCAGTAGTGCGGCAAATGCTTCACAAGTACACAGTATATTTATGTAAACATATAATATTTTAAAAGGGAAAAGGGTGTGGTACCAAGTAACGTAGTATCAGTATGGCTCACAGATTGAAGCCCGGACAGATACTCGCCAAGGCTGATCGAGCCACCTACATATCCCTCCAAGGTCGGTTAAATGGTACACCTCGTCTGGGAGTTGTCATTTTATAGGGCACATACGTATTTAAAACGCCACTTCTATTCTGAATGAAAGTGGTTTCCTATGCTTCATGCCATAATAATAAATGGTCAGGAGTGCGGTATTGAATGCGTTGAAGAAACGAACGCTGCTTTGTATATTCAAATGGGATATTGTGTGAATGGGATAAAAGACATTTTAGTACAAAATTCGTGGCGTGGTAATGGCTTTTACCAAAAGAGTAATAGCAGAACTGTGAGATATTCTTATTAAAACTGTAATCACAAGCTCTTTCTGAAAAGACTTTGCTTTTGATGTCAATGGGTGAGCGGTTGTGCACTCTAGGAAGTCGAGTGGAACATGCTGGAATCAGACAAAGATGATGTTGAACTGAAGTGGACCTCTGAGTTCCTTATCAAAAGTCTTCTCTGGATTTTTCGATGGTCTCCGTCACGCTGAGAAATCGTGGAATCTGCTGTGAATGACAAGATTGATTCAACAGGAATCTTAAACTTGAATCCTAATCGGGGAAGGGCAAGGGCGGCTTCGCGTACAGAGTGATTGAGGGGGACGGTCAAGTCGTGCGTCCGAGGGTGCGCGCGGCAAATTGCGCGGCGAAACCAATACATATTCTGACGACTTAAGCGCCTATTACTTGGGCCCAATTTCGCAGTACAGTAGAACAATAGGATCAGCTGACCTTACTAATCAACCTTACTTCAGATTTGGGCCCCAATGATAGGCGCCGGAGTCGTCCAAANAAAATCGCCACGAACTTCGCCGCGCAATTTGTCGCGCGCACCCTCGGACGCACAACTTGAAACACACCCAGTAATTGTAAGAAATGAAGAGAAACAAAACAAGAAAACGTTGAAAATACAAGTCTTCTCAAAGGTAGCGTTCCCACCCTTGATATCATAACTTAAGGAAAATGTGTCAAAAATCGGATCTGCAGTGTTTTGCAGTCTATTGTAGTTGTATTTGTGAACATAGAAGTTGTTGATCATGCTAGAATATCCAGTGTTTCGGAAGCCGAAGCCCAATCGACGTTCCTTACACTCCACCGGTTAAAGGCGATTCCCTTACATACCACTCAAGCCTTCCAGTTCAACCCCCTTCCCTGGAAAGCTGTCAAATAGCCAAGCAGCGTAGTCTCTTCTATAATTCCGAATGTGGAAGCTTCCTCCCAGGAGAGCAGGAGTAGTACTTCATTTTCTTCCCGCTACTTTGTTGATTTTTAAAACAATGTTCAAATTTGGATTAAACATGAAATGCTCTACAAGGTAATATAATAATTGTGACGGATACTTCGAAAACGTTTTTGCGTTGATCTTCACTTTTCCTTCTGTGGTCTATACGGTAACGCCCGGTGATCTTCAGTCGATGGCGCCGACCCCTCGTTTCGCATGGGCTTCCTCTCGGCACCTGGGCGCTCTTCAAAATGCATGTTCTCTAACTTTTTGTCGATCCCTCGCTTTCGAAAAGGTGATTGTTTTTCTGGCCAGACATCGGCCATTGGGATCAATATTGGCGGCTGAACGCTTGCGAAATCTGAAAGGGTCTGAAGATGGAATTAGAGGCTTTTTTGGAGAAAAGCCTCCATAGTAATGAAGAAGCTTAATGAAGAATAGGAGTGTATTATACGTGAGACCATTGGTTAACACCAGTCAGGGTTATTCAATTGAAAGAAATTTTCAGAAGTACCTCATGATTACTCAGTGCGCCCGTACCTGAGTTAAAATCGAGTATTACGAAATAATGACGAACTCTATGGCAACAAGGAATCCTAAGTTATTTTCACTGTTGAAGGCGGCATCACCAAGTTTCATCCCTGGAATGCTCTTACTCTTTTGCTCTTCCCAACATCTGCCCCCGTCAAGATGGTAACTATCTCTTCAAGATACAGCTGCATGATTACCCTATACCTACAGACAACTTAACCCCATGAATTCCTCATTTCAGCCATCTTTTTTGTGGGAACAATCGTCGATGCCTAAGTGGTGTACTGGAGAGATTCGCGAAATTCGATTTTAAAGCCAAGTTGAAACATAAATTCACCTGCAATTACAAATTTAATTATCGAGTTCAGCTCAGACAGCTTGAAGTTTTAAAAGATGGAAGTAAAGATGAATAGGAAGCGTGAATCCTTTGAATTTTAAAATTAGAAACATTAGGGTAGCATGGAAAGTCTCTACATTCTTCGTCAAACCATAGACACATTAATCTCGTTACGTCTTTCCAGACCTCAAACTTATTACTAGCATATTCTCATTCGCTCGATTCCGGCTGCTTTCAGAACTCAACGATTCATCCGTCCGTCCGTCCGTCCGTCCGTTCAGCGCGTGCCTCGACGGCGGCGCCTGACCGTTGTCGACACACTGAATCACTTGCCAGCGCCGTCAACACTACTCTAGCGGCCGCCGTCGCAGCAGGCGCTGAATGGACGGACGGACGGACGGACGGACGGACGGACAGTCGTCGAACTCTGAAAGTAGCCATCAAGCGCTCTTGCGCGAGCTAAGATGCATCTACATATCTGGCGTCGCACTCGTACTGGGATGGCGCCCTCTCTTACTGTACTTGTAAGAAGCTGAAAAAAAATTGCTGCTCGAAATGCCTATGGATTATTTTAGAGAAATGGAGAGACATAACATTCTCTAGCTTCAGCCTCTCCCTCCCTCCATAGCCTGGAATGGAGAAATACGCTGGAGAAGTTTTCCAAACGATTTCATTGCTTTTCTCCTACTCTCCAATCAGATAATTTGCTCTTTAGTGATCGTTTTACCTACTCTACGTACTCGCACACTATGAACCGTGCTAAACGAAGGCTGTGCCACACTACAATTTCGTAGAATGCAAGCTTCACCCATACGCCGTTCTTTTTCCAAATATTACTTAAGATAAAGGATAAAGTTTTTGGTGTTAATCAATCCCGTCTGAGGGATGCGCCCACGCACTCTACTTCCATTCACAATCGTAGTGGCGTAATGACGGCGTATCCTCCCAGACGAGTCTGGCACCAAATTACGGACACTGGAGGGATGGAAGGCTTGGTCAGTCTATACGGATATCGGTCCGGAATTCGAATCCCTGACCATGCGTGTACCACCTGCCACTACACCACCTTCGCCCAAATACTACTTACCAGTATTTTATGACCAATCTTTGATGAATCTATGCAGAAGCTTGTGCAGGAGGTGGGAACGTGTAAAACGCGTCGTCGGTGGGCACAACCGTCGCATTAACAGAACTGGTCCATCGGAATATTTTAAAACAATAGCAGTCACCACTAATTCGTCTACTCGCAAGACAGCGGTAAGCACTGAAATGAATAACGTTGACATCTCGAGCTTCTGACATCCTTCCCAGCTTCGCAGAAGGCGGAAAATAGTGGACAACCTAGAAAAGAACGTTAGATAGAGTGGAAAGCACAGAAAAACAAGTTTTCGGCAAAGTGACCCAGAAAGCTTTTGCTAAGGGTGCAAAGAAAATCTGAAAGAAGGAGCGAAAAATTCGCTGTGTTTGCCGGATGTTTTTTGAGTTTTTTTTCAGAAGCGCTGTGTTTTTCAAACAAAAAGCTGATTCATTAAAAAACGCGCTGAAACAATGACAACAAAGTGGTGCGTATAAAAATGGCATTTCACTGAGATAGCGATTCGCTTAGAACCTCCTCATTCAGCAGTTTCCTCACCAATACTGGCTGAGGCATCAATTTCTCTTTGTCAACATTTCCATTCTATACATTAACTTGACGATTACAGAATGAAAACTGCTCTTTTGCTACTCGCAATCACATCGACGGCAGCTTATGGGAGCCCTCCAGGATCTGGACAGAACTGGGGATCGCTTCCTGAAACATTTCTCAACAAAGTTGACAAACCATCCCAACTGAAGTATTTTGCAATCCTTAGCAACACCACCATGACCATTGCTGAGCAGAAGAAGGAAATCCAGAAATGGGCAGAGCAAAATGGGGTTCTGGTAAGTTAAATATGATGTTTAAATAAAGATTAAATGAAGAAAAACTACAAATGTTCAGGATGAAGTGAAGCATTACGATGCCCTTGAGAAAAAGTATAGGAAGAAATTGATGAAGCTTATGACGAACATAATTGAAGAATTGCCATCTCTTCTGGAAAACCTCATGACAGTAATGGAGGATCAAAATCAGACAAGTGCCCAGATGTTGACTAAGTTGCAGGCCCTAGGAACTGCAAGCCCACAGGTTATCTATCTTAGGATTTTTGAGATTACTAGAATGTTTACATTTCATCGGTACTAAGACCAGTCACAGCAATCCTTTTTAGTCGTATATGTGCACGCTGGCTGTCAATACCCATGCGAAGTTTGATGAAGCAAAAACGGAGCACTACTGTTTGCTGTCATTCTCAGATATGGTCCCTGGACCAGATTTTGTGCCGAAGCTTCCTCAAAAATACCTAGACTAATCTGAAAGGGCAAAGGACCAGTTTGGTTATCGGTTAAACTTTCCAAACCAATCTAATGATCGTTTCACCCCGCTACCAAATCTGAATGGATTCAGAGTTTATGGCGCGCCTCAGAATGGGGTCGATAATCCTACAGTCGCGTGTTATCTGTTCCTTTGAAATGTGTTATCTGTTCCTTTGCTGTATCAGTGATATTTTGTGTAAAATTAGTACTTTCCCGAGTCATGAATAATCTTTTCAGGTTTACAATGTGCTCAATTTTGCTCTAAGGCAATTCATGATACAACCATATCCAACCGGGGACAGACCTGCTCCACAGCCTCAGCCACACCGTAACCCCGCTCCAGAGCCTCAGCCACAGCGTAGACCCGCTCCACAGCCACAGCCACAGCCACAGCGTAGCCACGCTCCACAGCCTCAGCCACAACGTAGCCACCCGCATGGTCAAGTCAGACGTGATCAGTATGCTCCCAGAGACTCCGGCAGAATGAAAGAGCGTCACGGTTACGAATATGTTGGTGGGTTTTGGAAATCCCGACTTTCGTTGTATGTCGTGGTAATGTCAGAACAGTACTGATACAATTCGCGATCTGACAATGAAAGCTGAGTAGGAGCTGCTGGGCATCTCCATTGGTGCTGAACAGCTCCTCCTCATTGGCTTATTCCTCTCCAGTCCTCCCTTTAGCTTTCGAGCTGTAATTCTTAATATCGCAGTCAAAGTGACCAGTTTGCTCAGGAAAGAGGTTACGGCAATTTCGATGGTGTATATAGCATATTTCAGGGTATTGGGAGTGAATCACTGGCTGTTAATCACCATCGATTCTCCATGAGATTCAAAACATTTGTCTAATTGAAGCCGTTTAACAGAACAATAATAAAGCTTTTCGAAATACAGTCAGCCTGTTGATAGTGTTCATCACCATATAAAGAATGTAAATACATACATAGAAGCTTTTTGAACGCTGTCGCAGCTCACTATCGCCATCCACCCTATCCAGAAAATATCACAGAACTGTAACACATAAAAAAGATCAAGCAATCAGCAAGCAAAGACGCAAAAGCAGCACTTCAAGCCTAGACAAAATTGAGTAGTTCGCTGCTCATTATAAGCGCCGGAGCTTCAGTGATTATTGAATCTTTGAAAGCACAAATTTGAAATCTTGGCATGGGAGTAGGAGTAACTTCATGATCCTGTGATATAGTCGGAGCCATCAGTTTTATAGAAACGAAGATGCGGCCATCGGTTCTGTCTGATTGTGAGCCCAGCAAAGCCAGGACTGCTAGCGAATCGCCGAACCTCTGAATCTGCTTGATGCATTTGAAGCGTAGACCTCGTTCGTTCAATTCGAAAATCCCTTTTCAAAGTTAATAAATTGAAAAATAAATTTCATTTCCAAGTCCAGCATGAAAATCTCTGTATAGGAACATATGAACCTTCTTTTAGTTCTTTTAAACCCTGGATAAACTTTATCTTGATCTTCACTTTTTCGTCTGTGGTTTTGCGATCCCTCCGGATGATCTACGGTCGATAGCGCCGTTCCTACCTTTCGTTGACGCCATCTGAGCTCTCCTAAAAATGCATGCACTCTGACATTCTTGTCAGTTCATCGACCTCGAATAGTGATTGCTTCTGCCATGGTGGATATCACTGAAAGTCCCCAAGCACTCATGAAATCACAGGGTCTGAATTTGAGAGTGAAAACATTATACAATCGAAAATACAAAACCTATCATACCTTCAAAACACACTTGTTCATCTTTATCAGCTTTATTTGGTGAGCAGCTGGACAATACTTGATGGTGGCTTCAAAGAAATAGTCGATGGAATCGGAAAAGGAAGGCAGCTGAAAAGGTGTTGCTGTTAATTCAAAATTTGCTGGTCTCCAGTGTCACGGAAGGTTGCGAAGGACGTGACGGCTAGCATACCCTAGCATGGTGGCAGTACTCTTTACCTTGAATGACCAGATTGGTTTCAAGACTATGTGGTCTGAATAGCACGTATTACATCAATATCTGGAGGTGAAATTTCTTGAAATTAACTATGGTCAGGTATACACACGCACAGGTTCGCTACTGTATTTCCTGCTCTATTTTTCAATGTTGAAACGAGGACCTTGCGAAAAGGCAGTAGTTGATTATGGCAGTGAAAAGATCGAACGACTTAGAGACCGGTGTGATGCCAGGCTTGAAATGTGCAGCCAACAAGACAACTACTTTAATGCTGCAATATCAATTCATATTTTTATGGCGTTTTACATCATAAAAGCTGTAGAGCTATAGAGCTGCAACATCGAACTGAGCAAATAGGATGAAATCTACACGCGAATCTCTGGCAAGGAAGGCTGAAATCAAGTGCAGTGAGCTTATAGGCCTTATAAGGATTTGTGGCAACTGCGTATGGCTTTTTGAAAACGGTGTAAATGTAAAATTCTCGTACAACTATTCAATTTAGCTGAATGCCAATTGAGAAAGAATAATACTTCTCTCAAACTATAAAATTAAAAAAACATGGATGTTATCGAGATTAAATGGCTCATCAAACAACGAAGCGTAAAGGACCAACATGGTTTGAAGATAAAGAAAGAAGTTACTATCACAAAAGGGATCCTGGCTGACTTCTATTCAGACCATCTACGACGAATATCGGCACGACAGCGGGAAACAAAGATATGAATGTTATTTATCATCCATAAATCTATTGCCTAGTGAATTGCGACATACACTGAGCGTTTCATCTATCTCTTAAGTTCACTATTTCCTTGAATACCGGCGATTTATGTTAGGATAACGAGATGGATCGTAATCACTGCCTTGGTCAAGACGGCGCACAATGGCCGCATCCAGTAACTCACTGAAAGCGCTCGTAGCAGAGGACGAACTTAGATTCGCTTCAACAGCGGCTGGGATATTGCCATGGAAAGCACTGCCAACGGTCTCTCGCAACGCAGACGACAATACATCCTGGCTCGAAGCGTGCTCTGGCACAACTTGCCTTCTCGCTTGCTCAGGATGAGCCGTTTGATAGATATCACTGGGATTACGCGCCCGACGAGGATTCGTTTGAGCTGACCTGATAACGTCTTGGATTATTTGAACCCACTCAGGAAATAATCGCTGCCAGCTGCCATCATAAGTTCCAAGCTGAGCACGAGATCCCACTTCTTCTCTTCCAACAACTGCTTGAGAACTGTGCGACATAGAAGTGTAACCACGTGAGGTCGAAGGTTCTGTCTTGAGATACTGGGTTAAAACCTGAAAACCTGTTAAACCTAAAGCTTCACACTCATCGTCTGTGGGAGCTGTTGATTCATCAGAACTGTGAACGTCAGAAGGGTGGAAAGAGAAGAAAAACAAGGTTTCGGGAATGTGACCCAGAAAGCTTTTGCTAAGGGTGCAAAGAGAATCTGAAAGAAGTAGCGAAAAAGTCGTTGTATTTGCCGGATGTTTTTTTTTTGAGACTTCTTTCAGAACTGTGTGTGTTGTGTTTAACAAAAAACTGATTCATTAAAAAACACGCTGAAACATTGGCAACATAGTGGTGTGTATAAAAATGGCATTTCCTTGTGATAGTGATTCGTTTGAATCCTCCTCATTCAGCAGTTTCCTCACCAATACTGTCCGAGGCATCAATTTCTCTTTATCAACATTTCCATTCTATACATTAACTTAGACGATTACAGAATGAAAATTGCCTTCTTGCTACTCATGATCGCATCAACGGCAACTTACGGGAGCTCTTTAGCGTCTGTACAGATCTATGGATCGCTTCCCAAAACATTTCTCGACAAGGTTGACAAACAATCCCAGTTAAAGTATTTTACAATCCTTAGCAACACCACCTTGACCATTGCTGAGCAGAAAATGGAAATCCAGAAATGGGCAGAGCAAAATGGGGTTCTGGTAAGTTAAATATGATGTTTAAGTGAAGATTAAAGGCACGGTTCACGATAATTCGAGGGGCGATTTTCCTCCTCTCGATCGATGTCACGTCAGACGAGTGTCGAGGAGATACAGATTGCAAATTTTCACTCGAGGACCCACACACAATCAGATGATCGCCGAGTAATGAGGCGATGATTTCCTCCTATTCTCTTATCCTCCGTTCATCTTTTTTCTGTTGCGATCCTTAATTTGATTTTCAACCCCAACAGGCTGAAAAAGGTGGGCTACTTTTGCTGTTACTAGGGTTTTCATTTGTTAACTTTGCCTATGTATGAATGAATTTTTGCTTACCGTAGTCGGTTATTCACACCAGGACCCACACCTACGCACTGACAGACATTGCATAGCTCGTCCAAACGCCACACTCGGCTTCATTTTCCTGGTCTCATTCTCGTCCAGCCCGCTTTTTAACGGCTTTTCGAAGCCCTTTGGCGCTTTGGAAGCACCTATTCACGCAGTTTCTTCACCTTCATCGCACTACTTTCGATCTTGTCTTCCATTTTTCATGGGTCCGGGAACTTCTCCCTGGACACGGCGTCGCACACGCCGCACACGCCGCGTATCGCAGGATTACGATGGAAGATTGGAGCGCGCGATTTGTGAGGTAAGTCCTTTAATTATTTGAATTGGCTGACCGCTTTCTTCAATTACAATGCAGTCTTGATCGCCGCTTACATAGGAGGAGTCATTTTAATTGAACAAGTCTAAAAAACATGAAAACGAAAAAGAAACAGAAGAAAAAAACGATCAAATCCAATAAAAAAGCTGGCGATCAACGAAAAATTCCGCATCCTATCGATTGGCGTGGAGGCGGGGTGAGTACGGTAATTGCAGTGACATTTGCCGCATGCCGCAAGGGAGAATGCCGCGATAGGGGAGAAGTTCCGTTACCCATTTTTCATCATAATCCGGATTACCCGGAATTATCGTGAACTGTGCCTTTGAATCAAGAAAAACTACAAATGTTCAGGATGAAGTGGAGCAACACGATGCTCTTGAGAAGAAGTATAGGAAGAAATTGGAAAAGAGGTTGACAAACGTGATTGAAGAATTACCAACTTTTCTGGAAAAGCTCGTGGCAATAATGGAGGATCAAAATCAGACAAGTGAACATATGTTCGCTAAGTTGGATGCACTGGTAGCTGCAAGACTACAGGTTATCTGTTTTAGGATTTTTGAATTTTTCAGTATGTTTACATTTCATCGGTACTAAGACCAGTCACAGCAATAATATTTAATCGTATATCTGGAGATAGTTATTGATTTGCACGCTGGCTGTTAATACCCATGCGATTTTTGATGAAGCAAAAACATTACAGTTTTGAACTATCATCACATGTATGGTCCACGGATCGGGACTAGTCTGAAAGGGCAAAGGACCGATATGATTATTGTTTACCAGGCGGCCACGCACGGTATAGCTGCTTTCATAGTCCGCCGGCCGGCGGACTATGAAAGCAGCCTATGGCGTGCGCTGAGGGCTCTATTCATAAGGGACGGAGCCACCTAAGCTTCTGATTTTCATCATAGACCTTTATCATCCGAGAATCTTCCCGGACACTTCTGTAGCGGCCATCATTTCTTTTGTCTCATAGGGAGCATAGAATTTTTCGCTAGATCGCGAAATTCGGACTGATCGGCAAGCAGCTCAAGAAGTGTGTTCGATGTGTAATAGAAAAGTGTTATATATGCCATGATAATACTCCAGCTCAGCTGGAGTATTAGTATGGTGTACATAACACTTGATTTTGAAACATGTAATTTATCAAAGCAACACTTCTGTATACACAATATTCTTCAGCGAGGGCGACGGGGATTAATGAAGTAATAACTTCGACCGTTTCTGATGTTAAAGGCACAGTTCACGATAAATTTGAGGTAATCGATTTTATTCGAAAAGCGGAAGTATAGATTGGGAATAGTTCTTTGGTAAAGAAGAGAGCGAAAGTATTCGCCGATTTCGAGAAAAACATGGCTCCTCAAAAGTAGGGAAAATAGAGGTTGGACGAGATTGCCATGACGGAAATAACATGGAAGGGGTACTCGGACGAGATCTCAATATTGCAATTGTACAAAGAGCTGCCTACATCGATCCAGAACTGTACAGAACTGTCTTTAACTGTTGCTATGGGTCACGACAAGTTGTTTGAACTTCCTGCATAGGCACCCTTGCGATCGGCGCAGCCTCTACCATTCAGACCTCATTCAGACCATCGTGGACCTCAAATTCATCCGTGGGGAAATGGCAGAAACCATTTTTAGCGTGAACTGTGCTTTTAATTAACAAATATTTTGGTTTGGGCTGTGCATGGTCATGAAGAGTACTCCTGTGAAATGGGGCTGTGGGTGGCCATGAACACTAATTTTGAGAGGATAGTACCCATGGGAAGTTGTAGGGATTTACGTTCCGCGTTCTTAAACGCACCTGAAGAGACCTAATAATTTTGAAGTGAGCCCCGCCCACTTCAGTGACAATCCCACCCACTTTTGGGATCTGACCACATTTGTTCTTTTACACCTTAACACCTTTTTGCTGCATCCCAGAACGTTTCTGAGTAGAGTTGTAAAGTTTTGATCTAAACTCCGCTCACTTTAGTGCCAACCCCGCCCACTTCTAGAATTTGACCACATTTGTTCCACTACCTCTATCCACTTTTTTCCTGCATTCTAGAACGTTTCTGAACGAAGTTACACTCAATTTTCAAAAGTGGCTTCCAGCTTAACGCACGCACGCTCATAGTGGGCGGGGCTTCGCTAAGCTTACGCATGCCCAGCACGCATAAGGTCTTGCTTGGGAATGGAGTTATGAATCTCTGTGGAAAGTACCGCCCACTGCGAGTACGCTCCGCCCACCGCCGGTAAGTTTCCTTTATTTTAGTTTTTGATCCATCCCACACCTTTGCACATTTTTTCCCGGCGTCTGGACTGTTATGAGACCGAATGAGAAGAATTAGCCCATGACCTCGCCCGATTCCTGCGCATGCCTCGCCCCTTGGGAGCGGAGCTCCGCTAGGCTCACATGTGCTCTGTTGCACTTACCCTATGCTCAAACCATTCCAAACTTGACCCGACTCCTCCAGGTGTTTCATCAGGTTATATCGAAATTCCGTGCAAACAAACAAACAAACAGACGGACAGACGCGAGCGTTTATATTAGGTTGAGTCATAAGTCCTCGAACAATGTGATAGTGAAGACTCCTAGAGATCATAACTCGGGGAAGAGGTGGCAAATTAGACGCGCGAGCCTTCGCTAGATAGGATATGAAAAGCTCTTCCAAATATATACGAACGAGTACACCTGACCGTCTCCTTCGCTTGAGCGTGAGGAGAGAAAGTGCCACGTCGGCGCGAAAATACATACTGCTTCAAAGCATGAGGCACCCATCGACCGAGTTTTCGCACCTTGGCAATTGACTTCAATCCACGAATAATTGTGGGCTGACTACCCAATGGTGAGTGCCAGTTCACGAGTAGTTTGATTGACTTGTGAAATGTGCATCTGGCAGGAGCACCCTTCCTGTAGACTTTCTTAATACGCCTATCTATCTC